CAGCAGGAAGCCCATGAAAAGCACGCTCAATTCTTCCTTTTACTGTGTGCGCACATCTGCATCGACTCATAAATACGGTCACACATTATGGTCAAAGAAGGAAAAGAAACAGGCCTGCTGCATCGGGGGTTCATTTTTACCCCTCTCCCTTTTATTGTTGCCATCTGCCTTTCTTCCTTCCTTCTAACCCACTCCCACACAACTTCTGTTGCCTTGGAACCATTGAACAGCAAAACATGTGGATCAGTCCCTCCCAACCAACTCTGTTCCTTCTTTCTTCTACTTCTCTTCCACTCCTCCTCCTCCTCTCCATTCTGTTACGGTTCACTCGGTTTGTTCATCCCCCCAGGCTGTCCAGTTACCCACAGGTCACCAAAAGCTCCCACTCCTCGAGAGCAATGCCAAACTACCAGCTGGAGCAGGCGGACGGAGTAACAGATGACTCACGGTCACAGCTTGAAACTCCTGACAGCAGGTGGCAGGTTGCAACATCTGGCTCTGATCCAGTGGTCGAGTTCGTACCCTGCAGTTTAGGCAGGGTGTTATCCTTTCTGGACAAAAAACAGTGCAAAGAATGAATGAAACAACAGGGAGAGAGCAGCAGTTCTGCAAATGCCAGGAGCATTTGAATGTCTTACTTCTTCTGGTCTGCTGAACTGGCATTTGGATTGGATACACGCAGGGCAAAAAAGGTTAGACCTGTCGCCACAGGAAACAAATTTGATGGCCTCTGTATACATCTGTGGAGGAGAAACTGATGACATAGGGGAGCAGAAGGGAGTGAGAGTAACATGATGCAAGGAAAAACATGACTGGGGAAAAGGAGACATTACACTCAAAGCTGGCATGAAACACCAGGTTAAGATTAGTGTCAGGTGAAAATTCCTTTACGGTGTCTCACAGATTGATCATTTTCAATTTCAAGCACTGGATTGCAAAGTAGCCAGAGGTGGGTCAACTTTCCCAGGAAACAATAAATACAGAAATTACAAAGCATACAACTCGCATGTAGGAGCAGCATAAAAGGGCACAGCACGAGTTATATTGGTAGTGTATTTACAGAGCTGCAGTGGGTGTTTAGAAAACTGCAAATAACCAGAGAATACTCTGGCACATTGATATGAAATGAAGGTGAAGCATATGGTATAAGTGACTCTCTTATTTCTGTACATGAGGGGATGGTGATGACGCTGCCAGCTTGCGGTGTTGACTGCAGAAACAGACATTTGAGCTGAGAACACACATTTTGATAGACAAAAACAAAACTATACACATCTTAATCATTGGTTTAACTCCTGATTTTATTTTTTTTTATCTCAGGTTTGTGCACGCCACTGGTAAATACGTAGCTCCAAGATAACTATACACAAGCTGCCGCTGCCCCCTAGAGGCATGAAGCAGTCACAAAATAAATTGTTTGAAAATTGCATGTAGTTTGGTTTAAGTGCTAAGGAGAGTGTCAGCAAATCCTCGAAGTCTCCACCACCCTTATTACAAGGGTGACTGCAGGGTACAGATATCATATTATCACCCACACTCAGTTTGAACACACCAAAACAGGACAGAAATCCATTACAGGCTTGAGGGAAAAATGTGTTTAAAGGTTCTCAAAGCTGTCACTGAATGTGGGATTGGTAGTGCAAATAAAGGCCCTTAGAGAGTTTGTGATCATACATCAAAAATGGCAGAGATAATTGTACACCCAAAGGATTGCTGCAATATCACCAGTTCTCTTATAAGCAAAAGGATTTCACCTATTAGAGCTGAGGAAAAACCGCTCTCCTGCAAGCAGTAAATATGAGCTCGTTTGTCACCACAGAACCCCCCCCACTGAACCCTGGTACACCTTTTCAAGAAAGAACAAACACCGCCTTACCTCCCTTTCCTCGCAGTATCAACCATTCCTTAAATGGACTGGAATTACAGGAACTCATTTGCTTTCTTGAAAAAAGTTGTGATGAAATAAGAAGTATTTGTTTGCAAATGCAAAAAAACATCCCTCTTTCTAAGGTAAAGCGGTTAAATGTAGGAAATAGTTTGTCCAAATAGGACCCTTTTAGTGTTAACAGCAATTTTAAAAGTTTCCTTATATACAACTTGTTTCTGATTAGTTTGTAGACAGAAAAGAAGCAGCAGAAAACTGTTCACAAAATGAAATATCAGGATGGCTACGGGACCAAATAATACTGGAAGTATTATAATAGAAAGGCGAGCAGATATGGGGCAATTCCTTCAGAAGTGAAAGTAGTTTGGGAAATGTTCTGCAGCATAAAGCGTCGAGACGTTTTAGAAGTTTCCCGTATTTTAAAAAAGATTATTCATAGATTTATTTACTGCACAAACTATAACTTGTTTTCAGCAGTGTGGGGCTCACTAGCTGATACTTGTAACATAACCTGCTTGTTATTGTGACAGCATCAATAGACTCCTTCAACCCTGAAGCAAATCAGATTATTTTTAGTTCTAGCATTTGGTTCATAAATTCCTGTTTAACAGCAACAGAGACATTTTCTCATTTGGTTTGTCACTGCAGAACTTTAAACAGCAATGGTCTGTGTTTACCACAAACCTACTGTATCAACTGAATTATTGGTAAAGATGTTACAAACAAATAGAAAAGAAAATAATAATATTGCCAAAAATGCCCCATGTATCAAATGTGATACAGAAGAAATAATCTAAATAATATGGCACCTCTATTCCTATATGCCTGGACTGTCTGTGCATATATGGCAAATAAAAATCGTGAATCTTGAATCATGAATTATATTTTGGATTTTGTTAGAAGGATTAATAAACATCTCAGTTCCAAAAAAATTAGAATGTTCTGGCTATTTTTTGATATGTTGGGCTTTGCAGGGTTAAGAGGTGCTCCTGCAATTTAATATTGCACCTTCATAATGCTCAAGAGATTAAAAAAAGACTGGTCCACATCAACGCAAGAGACAAAAATAGCCTGACCTTTTTCCCCAGTAAGCTCCAAAAACCTTGTATTTTACAGTTCACACACTGAAAGTCAACTGTGTCAGCAGGTGAACACTGCCTGCCTCTTCACCCACATCTTTTTCCAACATCACTGAAGTGATTCAAGTTTCAAATAGCCGAGTAGCATCCTTGGTGTAGACTCGCTTATAAATTCAGTCGAATGCCTCTTAGCCTGTGGGTTGTCCTAACACACAAAGGCAGCAGTAGAGGTTGGAATTAAAAAATACTCATTACCAATAATTCCTTGATTAGTTTTAGGATCCATCTATAAATTGTAGACGATTAACATTTCTAGTTCCCAGAGGCCACTGTGATTTCAAACTCTTAGCTGTCCAACAGCCCAAAGGTCCAATATATTCACTTTACAAGAACAGAAAACAGACAAACCTCACACTGAAGATGGAGCCAGTGAACCAGGGTTTTCTGTTGATCGACTAATTTAATCATTTCAGGACTAGACTTAGTCATATTTCAGTACCTTTATTGGCAATCTAATTTGCACAGTCCAGCTCCATGCACAGAATTTAATATACCACAAACTATACACCGGTCAACCATAACATTATGACCACCTACCTAATACAGTGTACACAGGAGTCAGTGCAGCAGTTGGTTGGCGCGCGTGTCACTCTGCAGCTCGCTGTGCATCTGTTTGCTTCCATAATTCTGCTGTCAGGAAGAGCATGAATGTGTCAGTGTGGAAAACCTGTGGAAAAGGAGTGAGACTGTGGTCGTGAAGACAAGTTGGAGATAGTTTGACAAACTCACCAGCCTCCCCACTCTAGATGTGATGTCACCACTACGGCTGCCGAGTGTTTCTCTTCATAAAGACCAATGTACAGTCATTCTCATTTTCTACCATTTTCACACAAATTGAAACATAATGGAATCTTTTGAAAAGGATGAATGACATTTAAAAGTTTAATGTACAGTAGATAAACCTCATCAGTGAGCCGTGGGGGCCCATGACACAGTCGCCAGCCATCACAGTCTGACCGCTGTCAAAGTCACTCAGACCTTTACATTTGGCCTTACGCCTTTTCCTGTTTCCAACACATCAACATCAAGGACTGAATGTTGGACTGGTGGAATTCAAAAACTATTTAATGAAAGGGAAGGGGGATACAATTTAAGGGGTCAGTTAAATTTAAAAATTCATGCTATACGTACAACCAAAAAAAGATTTTGTATTTCCATAAGTGGGGTAAAACTATGGAATAATTTAAGTGTGGACATAAAAAATAGTAATAGAATTGACGAGTTTAAACATAAATATAAAGGTATGTGTCAATCAAGATATATGTAAGAATTTAGTATATTACTTGTGTGGTGTAGAAGAGAATTATCTATGTAGAGATACTGCTTGCAAACCAATGATGGTAAGATGATGTCATGGGGTAGGACTGGATAAGTCTGACTTCTTCCTACTCCATTCAAGCATGTACTAGGTATAAGCACATTGATATTGGATTAGCATTTGTTGGATATGTGTAAAATTATGTGTGTTGACATATCAACTGTCTTTACATGCTTCAAAGAATAAATCAAATCAAATCAAATCAAATCTTCACTTGCTGCCTACTATACCCCACACACTGACAAGTGCCACTTTACTGATAATGTTACCTCACCCATCAGTGGTCATAATGTTATGGCTCTTCAGATCTTTTCAACTACATGTCCAGAAGGAAATGCTGCAGAGAAATTACTTGTTCATGCAACTTGACAGACCCCACAAAAACACAAATGCCTTACCATAGTTCCTTCTGAGAGTTAGTTTCCTGGAGTCAAGAAGAGAAGAAAAAAGAAAACCGTGTTCATTTAGAGGGGGCATTTCTTTAAATTTACACTTCTAACAGATAAAACACAAAAAGCGTCAGAAAATCCTTTCAAGTCGCCACCACCCTCAGAGTCTAGCAGGGTGACTGCTGAGTACACATCTCATCATGCACTTTCCTCTCACTTTAGCTGCACTAGAAAGATTTTCACCATTAACTGAAAGTAAAAACAGAAATCTTACCTCCGTTTCATTCACTTGTGCCATTTCAGTGTCTGTGACAAAACACAAGAGGGAGAAACCAATGAGATCTTTAAATGCGTCTCACACAGAGCCAGTTAACCCCATCCTCCAATATATTAGGAGGAAAAAACAAAACAACAGGTCAATATCTAATAAAGATCTTTATTTCAAATTTTAAATAGATTTACAAACCATAAGAAAAAAGTAAAGGAAAAAAAAAAAAATCAAGTGATGTCAAAATATCCACATGTGCATATCAAGGTAGAGATTGTAAACAGTCCTTTGAAGCCAAAAAGTGAGACTTCCCGGGGTCAGGTTCACTCAGTTTGGAAAGGGTTTGTTTGTTGTTGGTGGGGTTTTTTTTCCTGAGGTGCTTGTTTTCTATAAATCAACTGCTGGGTTTTTCCCTCAGTGATACTGCCACCGATCAGAGCTCAGAGAACTGAGGAGAGGGGGGACGAGTTGGGGAGGAAAAGACAATAAAAATAACAGTAGTTTGACCCAAAAAAACAAACAAACAAAAAAAAACAATTCATTAAAATCAGTCGTCATGGACATCACTCCATTGTGAAGAACTCATATAATAATCACAAACATGTAGGGCTTGGTAGAAGGCTAGAATGATGACTGTACGGTGTGTCTGATATTCATGTAAATCAAGTCGGTACATTATTTCATGAACAATCCTGGGGTTTTAAACAATCCTAGCACTTAATGCATGGAGGATAGAAGACACTGGAGCTCACACCACAGTTTGGAAATCAAATGATCCAAAACAACAAGAGAAGACCAAACCAAACACAGAACCCTTAGCCCATTCACAATGCAACAGGTTTAGATTAGACTGAGAACCTTTGTCCCTGGACACAATCCCAACTATTATAGCAGATCCAAAAAAAAAAATAATAATCACAAACGCATCATTAACAGCATGCTAGTTAAGACCACATTCTCCTGTTCATGCTCAGGGATCAACCCTCTCCCGATGTCCTCCTGCTTCTATGTTTCTTCTTCAGAGCTTCTCAGCACAGCTTAAAAACAAACCAATTATTCACAGACAATGGAAACATGGCTACAGAGACATTGAGAATTTAATCAGAAATACTGTTGGGTGGTGGTAATGTGTCTTTTGGAGTGTGCAACAGAGCCGCCCTGGCAGTTAGGGGAGGGTTTCCGACTTTAGAGACCACAACCAGCACCCCATCAGGACATTACCATTCTTCTGAATCACTCACACTGCTACCTGATCCCCTCTGAGGTAACAGGGTTCATTGATTCAGGTGAGTGAAGATGGCTGTGGCCCAGTCAAGCATGGTTTGGGGGGGGGCCTGCCTGTACACACAGCTGCCACAAGGGGCCGATTCCTCTGCTCTGGAGACTTGTGCTACTCTGGTTTAAAATAACAATCCAACAATAAACATAAAATTTATTTTTTTTTTTTTAAAGATAAAACTACAAGTCTGTCTGTTACCAACAACACTCAATCCACAACTCTCAGTGGTACATAGCTGGAGTTCAGGTCAGACTGTTAAGAGGCTCAGCTTTACTGCCATGTTTAAAGCACTGCATATTGAGTGGATTGAAGCACTGACTGCATAGGTTTATTTTAAATACAGTACATTGGATTACTCTGATCTTCATTCCACTCGTTAGATTGGCTGCTGGATCTTACCTTACTCACTCATACCCCATAACAATCTGACAGGTGCTCCTATAAGCAAGTTGAAACTTGTTCCATCAGGAGAGTGCACAGCCTTTGCACAGTACCCCCCATTTGAGTCTTTGTGAGTGCCACCTTTGTGTGGCTGGGGGTTTGCTCTGACCGGTCTGTACCACCATTCAGGTCTGTGATATCAGGGAGCGAGGGAAGGCACAAGGGAGTGTGAACAGCCTTTTTTTTTTTTTTTTAAAAGATGGATAACTTCCTTGTTCAGAGCCGCAAAAGCCATAAAAGGACAGAGGTGAAGCATGACAGCCTGCTCCCTGGAGGTGGCACACATGGCTCAGAGGTGAAGGGGACTCAGCTTTTCAAAAGCACGTGTGCAGTGTATGCCAATTTTCCTACAGTAGGGTCTGTCTCAAATGCTCACTGCTTGTTTTACTCTGATTGGACCTGTGGCGTTACATTCCTTCCTAAATAAAGGCATGACCATTCCTTAGCCCGATTTTTAATAGAAACACAGCCCCTGGACAGGCTTTGCTCCTCTAAAAGCCAGAAGAAGAAATTGGTCTTAAAGCGAAAACACCTTTGGGGAAATTTAATCCAGTTATCAGTGTAGACAAGCACAAGCAGATGAAGTATTATTACTTTAAGTTTGTCTGTCATGTGTGCAACCTCTACTCAGACAACAAATAAAAAAAGAAACAAAAAACAAACCACTCTGTAGCTTTCTTTTCAATGAGTCAGGTTTTAGTGTGCATGCTGTGACTGCACATGTGACAGAAGGTGGACATGTCTGTGCTAATTACTAAAATTCAGTTTATGACAGAAAAGGGAGGTGTGGGGGCAGGGACGGATCAGGGGAGGCAAGGTCAGGAGTCCTCAGTGCCCGAGTCATCCTCATCATAGCAACAGTCCTCATTGTCGTCCTCGTCGTCATCGTCCTCCAGCTCCTCATCGTCATAGTAGTCGTCGTATAAGAGGTTGGAGCCATCGTCTGTGGGTGGGATTTGTGTGCGGACGCAGTACTCGTCCAGTGTGACAGGAACCTTGACGCCATCTCGCTCTGCCTCAGCTTTGGTAGCCAGCACCTGCTTCCTGTGAGAAGGAAGGATAGATGAGAATAAAAAGAAAGTCAGACGAGGCTAGAGCTTCAGTGCTGGTACTAGGTCGTATGTGCTTCTCTGAATTGTGAGGAGTGCTGCATGTCCTCTCAGTACCTGATGATCTCGATGTATTCTCTGTCCTTGCCCTTGCTGTCCCTCCACTTGCGGTACATGACGGACGCGTCCACATTAGCTGGGGAGAAGGTGTTGGGCTCGTTCAGTAGAGAAATCACACTGAGAAGGATGGTCCTGAGCGGAGATGTCAGATGCCAGAAAAAGGAGAGATTTAAACAGAGGAAAGAAATACAGGAG